TCAACGATGTATTGTTTTACTTGTCGCGTCAAGTTTTCGCAACCCATTTTTGAACAACTCTTTGTCGTTAATTGCGTCAAGGGTATTCATCGAATGTCCAGGACCAAATTTGATGCTCCAATATCATCCAATTATACTCAACATCGTCACTGAATCTTCTATGAGAGGCCTCAGAGCATATAAACACGAGCAGTTTCTCTCCAGGAACATTTGCACTGGTATACCATAGGAAGCACGTGCCTTCCAGATCTCTTCTATATTCCGTATAAGTCCAGCCATCAACAAGCACCAAACAATTGTGGTGTAACCGGGTTACACGAAGGTGTGTATTTTACATACACACCTGCCACACCAATGTGGTGTGGCTGTACCTTGGGTACAAAAGTAGGCGATGTGACCGTACCTGAAGTACGAAGGGTCGCATCGTGGCCGAGAGCCACGTGATCACTATACTTATTTAAAGTATAGTGACTATGCATGTTGCGTAATAGTAACAGGCTATAGAGCCAGTAAATAGTGACTAGCACTAAGTATAGGATTGGTGCTTCTATATTTAGTGTTAGAAGATAAACATAAAATATCAATCAGTTTCAAACCTGCTCTGTAAGCCTTACAGCTTGAGCATTCTATTCCTTCTAAGGAATCAGTATCTTTGATACTAGTCTCTCTAAGACTCGGTTGTTAATACCGATAGGCACAAGCTTACGAGCTAGCCTAGGAGAGTTATACACCTTAAGACGTAGAAGCTCTCTGAGCTTGTCTTCCTCTTCACATAGTGCATACGTAGCTTGGCTACGGTAGTTTGACTACTTCTTCTGCACATAGTGCATCCTCACATAGTGCTTTTTCACATAGTGCATGAGTATCGTGGCTACAGTAGCTCGGCTGCTGTTTTATATGCAGGATTCCATAATATAAAGCTTCTCGGGAGCAGACTTTCCGGTCGCACACAATGTAAATGTATTTGAAACAAAATTGGACACTATCTAAATAAAAATACCCACAAACATTGTATCTTGACCAAAGAACATACCAAAACTTGTTGTAATAAGCAACATTGAGTGCCTCGAGACGGTCGAGTACATCCTTATCCGCAAGTTTTGTCGCTACACCTTTCTTTCATCTACCATAACCTTATTTTATTTAAATAGTGTTCGTGTTCATCCATTACCTTTTGTTCCTGAGCTTCCTACTCTTTAATGGGCTTTCCACTCTTCTAATCTGAATTTGCCAACAGAAACTCTTGTATTAATATCACTATTATAATTACTCGTTGCATTGAAAAACATTGGAATCCAATAGCAGCAGCAATACCATTGGGTGTGCTGCAAACGCTTCAAGCCAATCTTGTCGCGTCAAGGTGACGTCTACTGCAGCCGCCGCTTGGCAAAGCTCCTCGAAACTTCGTACAGGCAACTTCGTGAGCATTACTTTTACAACTGTTTCGACCCACAGCAGTGCAACAGCATCTGAAAGATCTCTGAAGCTTGTTGTACGTTGCATGGGGCAACAATTGCGTCGTTGACGTTTGTGATGATGTATTTCTAAAAAAAAGTAGAATGAATTTGATTTAAAGGTTTATTTGATAAAAAAATGTAGTATTTATAAAATAATGATAACAGAACAATTTCATATGAATGCAACTGATGTACATTTCCTTCGCTTATTATTAGCACAGATTTGTCGTGAGTACTAATAGTAAGTATAGTTTTTCAAGCGACGAAACTTATGGTGCGGCTTATGAAGAACACAGGTAAAGAACTTAGCAATGGTACAAGTACAAACAACACATGCCGGAGAATACAATAAATTCTGGCAACTGTCATGATCTTAATTAAATAAAAAAAATTTGATTCTTACATACTAAAATATGTCTGACGCTGGAGGAGCCCCACATGGTCAATGTTAATGAGGATGCATTTCTCATGCTGTGCATATCTTCGGAGCTAGCTTATGGCGCCAACCAACGAAGTTTTTATTCTTGTAGTAGTGATGATAGGCAGAATAGAATATTTGCGTTTCCAAAAACTATTCTAGCATACGGAAATGAGCAGAACACGTACGGATGGATAGCCAAAAGAATCTGGCTCTGTATACTTCTGCGCAGGAGGTGAAGCCATCGATTGGGATATGCTACACTCTTTTACATGTTTGCACCATTACGTGCACGACTAATGCAATCTTTAATCAATGCTGCGTGATGGCTCTTGTTATTATTTTCGACGGACGCGGTTAAGATAGCTGATTGCTTTAAAAAAGCAAAAATGTCGCACTGAGGCTTTGTTTACTGAAAGCTTCAAGATCGCCGCGAGCTTAAATAGGCTGTCAAAGACAAGAATTTCATGTTACTCAAAGTAATCTTCTGATGACAACACAGAAAACAATAAAGTTATTGTTATTAACATTTACCCTCATCTTGCAGTTGTATGGCTGGAACGAGCCTCGTTTCACGTGCCCGAAGCTTGCCGCATGTCGAGGGAGTTCATCCGTACTCGGGAATCGATAGTCTGACAAACATGTGGATCTTTATTTGGATCTATAAGTCATGCGATTTTTAGGTTTTTTTGCTCGGCCCTTGTGTCTACATATCCATCTCTTTTGTCAAAAGGATGATACTCGTACTCCTTCGGTGCCCTGTCATACATTTCCATAAACATTTCATGTCCATATATCTTCTTCAATTCCGATACAGGTGTTACTGGTAGTTTCGGTTTCAATGCATCGTTGTAATCGGTCACATACTTAATCCGTCTCTTCATACGAGGGCCCAGAACAAATTGGCCTTCGCTCTTGTCAAAACCATAAAGCGGATGAACTATGTCTGGAGAACGTTTCTCAGCAATCCATTCCAGCGACAGCTCTTTGAGCACTCGATCTTTGACGCTGCCAGGATGTGGGGTCGTACTTGTCGTACATATAAAACACCATATCGATCAATGTTTTATAGTCGTACGGAAAAAGCTTGGGAATGGTTGTCTGCAGCTTGGGGTACTTAATGTAAAATATGTCCATTTTCACAGTCAACCTTAGGAGATCCTTATTTACGAATATCTCGTATGCTGCTATATGAAGCTTTAGGTAGGTAAAGAATCGTCGGGATCCGTCGAAAATTTCATCCACGCCACTTGGTCATTGGTTGGTTCTTCATCGGACTTTGAGATTCAAATTGCTGCGCCAGATCTTCGTCATTGAAGTGTTTCATAATGATTGTAGTGATAGAAATTTTATGCTGTGAAAACTTTTCGCTGTAACGAAGCGCGTAGACAGCCCATGAAGCTAAATTTGGTTTTTTGTAAGCCTTTTGCTTATGATTGTTTTGAATCAACTTTTGCATTACATAGATGAGGTGCTCATCCTTTACCCTTTATCTAAACTTTTGACGACGTCATCAAGACCAGGGACTTTCGTTCCAGCATCAATGAACTGGCGCAGGTCCTCAAAACTGCAATTAGTCTTAAGAAGATCGAGGAGAGCAAATTTAGTTATTTGTTGTGTGACCTGTGGATCCGCGAACAAATGCGAACTCCTTACAATTGTCCAATGCAGAGTTATTTTTAAAAAATCTTGCAAGTGTGTCAAGTTCTGGATTGAATTCGAAAACTTTATTGTTCACACTCAACGTATTGGAGGCCTGGAGCTTAGCGGCAGTCTGAGAGCTCACGCCAACCTCTGCGACCGATTCAAATGCAGCAGCAGCAGTTTGAAAGCTCATTCCAACTTCTGCGATCGATTCGAGCGCAGCAGGAGTAAGCCCCTTCTCATCCTTGCTGTCGCTGGTGTGCTTGGATCCTCTCAAGTGCCCCTTGGTGGAGGCTGTGTCTCGGCAAGATGGAGGCAAGCCGTCCGACCTGGCGATGTCTAATGGTTTGGCACGAGAATTAGTACCCAATAGGAAGGCGGCAAGAGACCCACACATAATGGCGGGCTGAAGGCGCATGATTGTGCTTGGACTGCTGTGTCGGTAGGAGGCAAATGCGAATATGGCAATGACATCAAATAAATAAATTTGTCGAGCCCAGGGAATGATATGGTACATTATCTTACGTTTAAATCAAGTCAGTCAGTTGCTGGAGGGACAAAAAGCTAGAATTCATATAACTGTTAGTGTTTATGCATGTATGTATCATTAAATAAGCCAATAGACGAGACTAGGAAGTGGGTCAGTTGATTAGACGAAAACTAATTCACCACCATGTTGATACTGATATTTCGTTTAGTGCATGAACAGTGAATGTGTAGGACAAGTTGCATGGAATGTACTGGATAGCTTCAAGTCACAGAAGAAACAGCTTCTACGGGACAAGGAGTCAAAGTTTTGCTTTCTTTACAAATGATTTGAAGATCCGTGTGTCTTTAGTGCAATAAACAGCAGATCGGAAAACTTGGTTATCTGTAATGGAGTGAGTGTTTCACATCTCACCGAATCAAAGAGGCTGAGATATACGGCATGAACCCTTGCAAAAATGTGAAATTGTAAAAAGCTGCTAGTATAATTGCATTTGCTCCGAAATATCACACGGAGTTTTGATGATGAAAAGATTATCACGTTCAGGATAACAAACATGAATACTTTCATCAAAAGGTGTATCCAAGTACAGAACTATATACTTCGTGGCAACAGTGTCACAAATAAAAACTCGAGTGGTAAAGTTGAAGACAGACTGGGAAGACGAACCAAAGACCAAAAGTACGGCAGTACATGAATCTCGGTTACTTTGTAGTACCGTACAAATTTAGCAGCGCTGGAACAATCAAGTTCATTTTCGGATAAAACGCGTACACGTGACAACGTTTTTGGAAGCACAAAATACTCTAAAGTTAAAGCACCAGCGTTCAAGCAAATTATATTAATAGAGGCGCACACAAAGCCTACTATCCGTAATCCGGTACGCAAGCATGAGCCTATCTCAAGTATTGCAAACGGCAGTCGGGTAATGTAGAGCTCGTCGAGCACCAAGAGCAAATTTTTGCGCATGGAAAAATGCAAAAGCGCAGCAAGTTTACATCAATGATAGAGGCTCGTACACGCGTGTCTTTACCGCGGCTTCGTCAGCACTTGTCAGATCAAGCTCAACATTCACGCAAAAGAGTGGACTGTTACTGTCATCGACACCAGTCAGCATGATCTCGTAGTTGCCGGCAGGCGCAATGATTGGAAGGTTCACATCCACCTTAAGATCTGTTTGCTTACCCTTCGCCACAGGGCAAACGAAACCGTGCACATCAATGTGGCCCAGGCCCAGCGGAAGAGGGATGTGCGTATCGCCACACAGCTTACCAGCATGTCCGAATACCTGCGTGCCAGCCAGCTTGACTCCCAACTTAAAATTCGCCGACGTAAAATCCTGCTTCGCATTACCACTGCCAGAAAATGAAACTGGCTGGCCACGTTGCGGAGATGTGGGGGGTCACTTCCAGGCGAGCAAAGTCAATGATTGCGCTGCTTTCATCGCCACACTTAGTGATCTTGGCTGATGAGAACAAATCAGCAAGGGTCGTGAGGCGAAACTCACGTGCCTCTTCAGCAGAAAAGGAGTTGACCGCGTCGTCTGCAGGGTCAAACCCTGACACCTCCACTGACTCCTCGGTCTTCTCGTCCTTTGAAACTAGTGACGCAAACGGGTAGCTCGGCACAGAAGCGATACCGCACTGTCCCGCAGGGCCGTTCTCATCACGAGAAAGACGAATGTATCCATGCTCTCCCCAAGACGGTCCCCATGAATTCTTGACTTTCCAGAACTTTTGTCCATTGTCAGCGCCGTACCCCACAACCAAAACTCCATGGTCCAATTGCGTGCCGCACGTCAAGTTAAACACACCTGTCTTGTAGAACTGAAAAGCTTTCTGGTCCGCTTCAATAGCCACCGAAACAGGCTGCTGCGCCACCGCCACCATCAGTGCATGTTCATCTTGTGCGTTAACGTCCTGATAACCTGTGACTCTGACAATATTGTCACATTTGCGACATACCTGGATTTCGCCCTTATACTCGTAGTCTTCCTCGCTGCAAAGACCTTTATGATCCTCTATCCATGCAAAGGCGTGGTCCATAAGACCTCCATTACAGCCCATGTCTCCGTTGTGGTCGCAGTCTACGAGCTCCTGCTCCGACAAACTCATCAGTTTCCCACTTGACACAAACGCGGCTCCCTCAACAGCTCCAGTAGTAGAAAAGGCCCAGCATGAGCCACACATACCCTGGTTCTTAATGGCCGTGACGCCACCTTTTTCTTGCCAATCCACAGCATCAGGTACGTCCATATCACTGAACAGACCGTCGATACGTGATGCCAATCGCTGCTCGACGTACCCTTCAGGCAAAACTAGCCCTGTCATCTTCAACTTGAACTCATCAAACGACATATGCGAGAACTCGTTATGGCCCAAAGAAACACCCGTCCAGGCATTCTCGGCATTGTGCTCAAGAATGTACATGTCGTTGGCAATGTAATTCTCCAAGCGTCTGGCAAATTCCAGCGCGTCCGAGAATACAATAGAGTGAGTCTTCATCCAGGCCGAGAACTCATGCTCGTACTCAAGTGGAGACTTAAGCGCTTCTGTCAGCGCTAGGCTGCTGGCTACGAGGAGGGAGAGCACACGCATTGCGAATTAAAATGGAATGAATGTCCTTTGTCCGTCTCGAGGTGAAAAGAATTATGAGAGTAAGAAAATAAGAAGAGTCGGTGACGGTTAATATAGTTTTAACTTGAATATTGTATTAAAGATCGAAGAAGAAAATCATTTCCCATTAGCCAATCAAAAAAGGATCAACGGATACTGTTTATGATAATTACCCAATCGAATATTGAAGAAAAAGATAAGCATTTCGACGAATGAGAAAGCTTTTAAAGGGTAAGTTCAATGTCAACTTACACGACCAGCTAACTAACTTGCGTGCGCAACGTAGTTTCGACAAGCATTTGGCGAGTATAATGTTGAAGTACATTGTGCTCTCTCTTATTCTGCATCCTTTACGTTTGTAGTTGTAAGAAAGTCTTGATCTGTGATATGTACACTTCTATTAACAAAATGAATATGCTGTGCACCGAAATTCAATGATCATTGACATTCAACATCAGGCGTCTGTCTTCTCTCAACAGTCTTCGTTTGTGTAGAATGAACTATCACATTTCAATCCTCATGAGCAACGAATAGTAAAGTAATCCAATACTTACTATCGTTTCATCAGTTGGAAGATGCCAGCAGTACTTGCCAGCGAGAACAACCAGCTGCACGGGATTCTTACATGCACATACAAGTCCTATGGCATTATCAACTGCGATGGAAAAAATTCCAATCTTTGCAGTCCAAAAAAAGTTAGTGACGTCAGGATTCTGATAATAGGATTAGTGCTCACACAAGGTCACTAACGCAAAGTGTGTGTTCACAAAGGAGATGCCACCTTTACAGTAGCCACAATCATGGTGCTCGCCGGTTTATGTAGTCCTTGCTCACCAACGTGATGGATTTTACTACTGTTTTGCCGTGTATGGACGGACCTCCGGTTTACCTAAAGAATTCATGTATCAAAACTCAACTGCAGATAACCAATCATGACCAAACGTCACTACGTAGTGCCTTTCCTTTGCTTATTATAGTGGCTGCTCTAAGCAAGTTATTCGACGCTGAGAAGATATGAGATGGTCACGTGAGGTAACTGATGTGTCACACTGTACGACGAATTCAAGCGAGATGGTAACGGCGCAGCTATTGCTTTAAGGAGTCTTACTGTTATTGTTTGGAGTAATTAATGTAACGAGACGAGAGACCAGGTGAATATTATGAATGTGACAATTAAGTAGGAATAATTATAGTAAAAAATTAGCAGCATCGTGTCGCTAAGAAAACGCTCTCCCTTCTCTTGCGACGACGCGTCCCTGTCTCTTGGAACGACATCTATTCGTCTCTTGGGACGACACTTCCCCGTCTCTTGCGACGCTACCGTTATTGTATCCAATTTCATCCAATCGATGCACTTTCCATTCGCAAAAAGTACCGGTAACACTCATGACTAATTCTTCTAAGCGCCTACCACGGCCGCTGCAGCTTGCAATCGCTAACGCAACTCATCAGCGCCAACCTACTTTGTCATTAGGTATCTGCTGCCCACTAGATAATTTGTTGTGCTCTATCTGCTTTGATATTTTAAGCTTTCCAGTCACATTGCCATGCGGGTGAGTCACTTTTGTGTATAATTTCTGTGGCTTGTAGTATGAACTTTAGTGAGTCACCGACCACCATTCTTTCGTTTTGTGGCACTAGACATAACTTTGATCGTGGTTGTATTTTGACTGCGTGGACGCCCGACTTGTCATCTTCACAACGAGCACCAGTTCAGCAGCAGAGAGGAAACTTGTGTCCATTGTGTCGGCAACAGGCTAATATCCACTCAATGGAGCACCTGGAGGTCAATTTGCTGCTTAAGGAACTCATTGCATCACTGTATCCAGCTGAGGTTCAGTGCGCAACCACCCCGTCCAAGCAGCATCGTTCACACGTGATGATGATGCCAACGTCTTCCCCGCTCGCAAACGGAGGCGCGCTCACTACTAACACTGCAGCGTCAGCATTTCGACGACGACCGAATTTACGCACGTTCTCATCATTTTTCTACGTTTGTGTGGCGTCGGTAACGGACCCGCCCGGATTTGTCCTCGCAGTCTTGCTGTTGTTAATTCTTTTGGCCACAGCTTGCAGTCCACAGCCGGCGACAGCTCCACCGACGGCGTCAGCGATGATCATGTTTGACATGATGGATCGCGTGTGCAACGGACTATCGCTACTGATCCACCGGATTTCGACGCACATGGATCAATTGTATCAGGTCTCACCGTGGATCCGACTCATTTCGTATGTGCTTTAGTTGCTCACTTTACTTGCGTGGTTTTTCTAAGCTACGGCAACTCTTTGTACACCAGCCTGCATATATTTATGTCAACTTTAGCCTCTTACCTTCTGTCAGAATATGAAATAACTAACGTGGACGAATACGAAGAGCAAAAGATATCGTCTATCGTTTCTTCTAATAGCACAGCGTAGAGCGTATTTTTTTATCGATGCGAGGAGCAGATAATTTGATTGAGCAGTCAGAAGCAGGTTACTCCTACCTTAATCGAATGCGTCCAGTCGGAGAAAAAAACCTGCACGATAGTCGGGGGCTGATAGTAGCAAATAGCGGACAGTATTGCGTTGTTGACAATTTGTTGCCATATGACAAAGCTGATGTAGGGATGGTCGCTGACTGCGTACTACGTTGCGAAGTCTGTGGACTAAGTAGTGAACGGTGTCTCGTGGTTTTGCGATGAAGTTGTGGCAATCGATGAACGACCGGCATTTCTTCATGAGGAATTGCGTTGTCAGGTTCCAGTAGGCGCATTCCAACATAAAATTGTATATGTAGCCACCCCTCCACATTCCAACTTACAAGCTGCTCGACAGATTGGAGTAGTATGATGATCGAGAAGAATAGCATTGACTTGCGTGATTCTGAATTTGTGCTAGTCATAAAGCTTGTAAGCAAAAGAAATTTGATATTCAAAACACGACAGGAATGCCATGCGAGACCAGCTCAGGATCAATTTAGTTAAATTACGTTTTCGCTCGCTTCGGTGACGAACAAGCTTTGGCTTCCCACCTCTAAACCATATAGCGATGTCCATGGCTTCAAGCACAGCAAACATCAAGAACTCGACTCTTCAGACCTTTTGCGCAGTTTTCATCACAGCCAGCAGTATTCGTGGCAGCCAGCAGCTTACGAGCGCGTGACGTCTTGAACTAGCACTGTGTTAATCGACTCATCCTCGTACACGGGTTGTGCGGCTAGCTTTGCTCTAGATCAAAGAAGGGGTGACAGTTGAGATGCAACATCCAGAGTAGCAACGGCGATAGTCTCTTTGCGGTAATCCTTACTCGGGTGACTGGAGTACGCACAGTCGGTGAGCCAACACTTTTCTTTCGGCACACAAGACAAGAAAGCGCACAGGCAGCTCTGGCAGAACTGACAACATCAACCACACACGTCAAAAAAAAACCATCCCGATTCATACATTAGGATAGCTAAAGCTTGACTATCGCTGCTTTTTCTTAAAATTATCGAGGGGCTGTCACTTCATCCAGCAACTGCCTCAGCTGCTGCTCCAGCGACTGCTGTCGGAATTGCACAGAATACTGAATTGCTTGCTCAATATACGTCTTCAATGCTATTGGGCCGCCCTTCATCGAACGCAGGCCACTTAACACAAAATCCTTTTCCTGTGCAATGAAAGAGGCATCATCAAGATTAAGCAAACTTAGTAAACAGCAAATCACATTACGTCGTACCTGTTGTGTAGTCGAGCGCGCCTTGGTAAGACGGATAATAGTACTCCATGTCTCCCAGTTTTCTGCCAAGACACCATAAACCAGCCGAACAAAGCTACTGTGCTTTTCATCCTCCACAAAATTACCGTCGTGAAGAGGAATACCCAACATCTGAGCAGCCTCAGCCTTCACAGAGTAATTTGATCCCACCGAGCTGTCAGTCATGACCAAGTCACCACTGTCGCTTCGGCCTGGCGACGAAACTGTCGATGAACTGCTCGAAACAGGAGAGCTCGGTGAGTGGGATGGTGACCCTGGCGATGACTTAAAGGATGGCGAGCCATGCATTCTGTGAGAGCGTTTTGAGTGCTTTTTGTCTCGCTTCAGTTGGAACGACCGCTTTCGCGTACGCTGGCGCTTCGGGGACTGGCCTTCCAATGCGGCTGCTTCGTCTGCAGCTTCATTCTGGTAGACGTTGCTCACCTTGGATGAGCTCTTCTTGTATGGATTGCCAAGATTGAAAGATAATTGACGCCGTCGCAGCCCAGTTGGGGTATCTTCGTCCGGTTCAGCCTCAGCAAGAGGATTACGAAGTGCCTCCTTCTTAATCAAGCGCGACTCATAGTCGCTCATAACATCAATAGGCTGACGATGCTTTTCGTCCTCCTCCGCGGCACGCCAACTTGGTGCCAGCTTCAATGGTGCTACCTCGTCTTTTGATGCGCGTGGAAGAGCTACCTGGAAATGGGGCTTCGACGGCTTTTTAAAAAAAAGCGCTTTGCTTTTTTGGTGAGCAGCACGCAAATCTAGGAGTGACATGGTTGCAATAGCATCGAATGATTTTGTATCGATCTGGTTCGTCCCGGACAAATCTTTGCTTAAGACAGGTGACGCCGATGGAGACGATTCGGGAATGCCGCTGCTTCGCATACTTGGCGCTGAGCTGGTGTTGTCGCCCCGACTCACCCGCGAGAACAATTTGTTGTTGCTATCGCTCTCTGCAATTGCTTGCTCTCGTAGACGGTTCAGAAAGCTCGAGATCTGGTAGCTTCGCCCTGAGTCCTGAACCTCGGGTACCATGTCATGCAAGTTGTACTTGCGAAGTGCCTTTTTTAAAGGAGCGTAGTAGTAGAGTGGGCACCCACTAAGATACGACGTAAACGATTCGCGCCACGATGACGGCATGGCTTTGGCCTGAAACATCCACGTGCTCGACGCCGCATTGATGTTTTGTCCACTCGCTTGATATACTCGCGCGACTTCCACAAGAAGCGAAAAGAGTTTGGGAAAGTTGTAAGGCAGCAGCACAAGCACTGCATTCGACGAGTGGGTGCCGGGAGTCGAGCTAGGTGCACGAAGCATACCAATAGGATCCCCTACTCGTCCGTCCCCTTTGCTGCCTTGAACATAAACTAGCCATCGTTGTCCACGACTTGGTGTCGGGCTAATCGAAGTTTCCAACATGTAGCTATCCGCCGGAAACTTGAGTGTATCTAGCAGCATATGACTCGTAGCTGCCTCGATCGCGTTTTCCACCGTTCTGGAATACACTAACGTTGGATGTGCTTCTCTCGTTGGCAAAGCAGCTGTGTTTCGATCTAGCCAAAAAGCTTCTGCAACAGGCCAACAGAACTCTTTCACACTTGGAATGGGTGCAATGATATTTCTCATTGTCGGGTGTTCTGATTCCTCATCAATAGCTTCACACTTGAACTTGACTACAGCCCCTGCTTTAAGTTTTAGTATGATCTGGTCAACACTCTGTTCAACTGCAGATTTCGATGTAGGCAAGTAAAGCATTCCTCCTGTAGTTTCACTTAAAGCCATCAAGTCTACAGGCACAGTCGGTTGTCCTTTTACACCATTCATAGTAGCAGATAGTTTTAAAGCAATGGTATAAAGTCTTTGATCCCATCGATATGGTTCATACGTGAGCTCTGCCCCGACGGCATGAGATGGTGTAATAATGAGTGAATCTTGAATCAATCCATCAGCACTGGATAATGTTGTAGCATCTGTAAGCAAGACACAAACTGAAACATTTGTATTCCATGGTGCACGACCTAATCCGTAACTATCCCAATTAAACTGAAGACGAATTTGATTCATTAATTCAAAAGCCTGTTTCAATGCCGCACCAACGTCACTTAAGTCTGTTGCTTTTAAATTCTTTAATTCTTGTAGGAAAAACTCTTTATTAGTTGATTGATCCCATCCAACACGTACACGACCATGATGATGGAATAAATTACTACCTTTTGGTTCAACATGAGGAGTTTTGCCTTTAAGAATGCGAGTTTCGCGACCACAGGAGAGTAACATAAAATGATGTTGATAACGACGATTTGGATCACGAACACGCTTTACAAACCGTTCAACCGCTGATTTTGCATAATCCAATAGTGTCATACCTGAACTTGTGCTCTGATTCATAGACGCACTTGTGTCTAATACAAATGTTACTAACATTTTAATACATGCAAACCACTTAGACAAAAAAAACTTTGAAAAGAGACTGACTGGCGGTAAGAAATAATGTCAGACCTCTCAAGTATGATATCAAATAAATTTCATGAAAGTTATTTATATTTATCTTCTTACGAACAAAACTTTCGCTTCTTGAGTGAACGAACGACAACTCCAGCGGCTTGAATAGTCTCTGTATTTCGCCCTTTCCATCGAATATATCCTTTTGCATCTCGAACACCAGCTTCAAATAGTTTCTTTTCGTCTTGTGTAAGTTTTCTTGTAAATTCAGTCGTGTCTTCGTCCAGAGAGCTCATAGCATTGTTGAGGATATCGCGATAACGCTCACCGCCAAAACAAAGCCGCAAGATTTCAGTAATCTCTCCCTGTTCTTCTTCCTTAACGTAAGGTATTAGATGACTTCCAACTTGCAGTATATAGGTGCAAAAATTGCGCACGTTAATGGATGATGGACCAGCTTTTAAGCATACGTCGGAAACGTGTGGTCAGGAAATGCGGTGGCTCGACCGTCACGTCACCGCGTCCAGCCAACGTTGTCGCAAGCCATAACGGTAGCTCCACGACGGCCCCTTTTAATAAATCAGGATTACAACAACTAGGATCTAAATGTCCACAATCCAGCACATCCGTATCAAACGTGCACTTGATGCGCTCATCACCGGCCAAAATGTCATCGATATCAAGATATCCACCGCTCATTTGATGAAGCTTCGGCGCCAAATCGACTATTTGGAATCTAAATTTAGATTTTGACTATAATCCAAAATCTGTAATATATTCATTGTGTGAGTCAAAAGGGTAACGATATCCTAATAAGACGTGCACCACAACACATGAAGCAGTCGCGTCTTAATCTTTGTACGTGAGAAACGTGTGAAGACTCCTAAAAGCTCGTCGACATCATGCGTTACAACTTCGACTGGACGAGCGGATGTTTGCACTTTGACAATAAGCTCAATCAACAAGACCACGCCGCTACCATATAAAGCTGATTATTGTCTAGGCAGCTAGCTAGGCGTTGTCAGATATTCATTTCTTCATGTACATTGTTATACTTTACTACTCTCTCATTTAATTATCACCCATCAATTGAACGAGTGTCACTCCGACTCCGTCTCGGAATCATCATCGTCAATCATAGCATAAAACGCCTCCTTCGTTTTGGAGTTAATCGTGGTCGCCGTCCTTACTATTCTATGCACTCCTGTCTTCGCCACACCTGTCATTTTTACAGATATATCCTCATCGTCGCTCGAGCTCAACGTCACAACAATACTCCTTTGCTTTGGACTAGTTTGCATCATCCTTGCCGCCATCATATTATCTTGCTTCTCGTCCTTGGTATCTACTTCCTCTATCTCTTCATCCGAAGAACTATCAATCACAATTATGTCATCCGGGGGAGAATGCTTTGGCACTGAAATATGAAGAGAAGGACTCTGCAAAGCCTCGTTTGCAGACGTAACCACACGTTCTTTTACTTCTGGATGTACACGCACAGCAGTCTGGGTTCTTGGTACTGGCGGGGTAGTTTCTACTGTCGGCAACGGTAGCTTTCTAGGTCTGTCCAATCAGTGCTTGTACATGATCCACGATTAGGCATGACATGAATTGCTTGTCGAATCACATTCTTGTGCTCGTTCTCAACGTAAAACCGTACTTCCCCAGGCTCCGCAAATTTATCTTCTCCCAACAGGCGCAGATTCTTCAGCACGTAGTCAAGCTTGCGCTGCAGTGCGGTATTCTTGTTACCTTTTGCAGCTTTCGAAGCGTCACTTACGTTCGATCGATGACGTTTGCGCTTTTTGCTTGGAGCACCAAACATTGTTCCTCCAGTATTAGGCTTTTTTGGTGATCCCTCTAATGAAATGGCATCAGGCACTCTCAATTGGACTAGAGATTTTTCTTTAAGTTTGGTCCGATCGTCTATTTCACGAGGCCCCAACATGTGGCTTTCAACACTGCCTCGCATCCACAGTTGTTCCACCACCACAGCTTGACCTGCGCCCATTCGATGCGCTCGACTTATAACTTGCTGCTCCAGCGATTTGTCCCAGATCTCGTCCATTAAGAAGATGTGCGTAACAAAGGAGAGGTCCAAGCCGTGTGATCCAACCTCCGTTAGCAAGAGAACATTTACGTTAGGGTCCTTGCGAAAACGCATTAACTGTTTCATTCGCGTTTTCGGGCTTAGCCCAGCAATGAAATCGGCAGTAGGTACGCCTTGTTGAGCAAATGCAACCTTAGTGTGCCAAATATGCTCCTTGAATTGTGAAAAGATGATCGCTTTAAGATGGTGCACTCGACGTCGCGAAGAGCACCCGCTTGGAGCGACGGGGCCAAGAAGAAACTCCTCCTTCAGCTCTTTAATTCTTGTTGCCGCATAAAATGCTTTGCTGGCGTCGATAAAGTGAATGTCACGAGTAAGATCAAGCGCGCGCCGGGGCTCTCGATGGCCATTTTGACGATTTGCCTCGTGAGCATGTCGATCTCTACCGTGTCGTGGCTCATGTCCTTCCCTGTTACGACGCTGGTCTTGATTTACAAGCTGTTGAATCCGATTGACGCGCCTCACACGACGAACGTTTTGGTTCAGGTTGGGATTATTATTCTCCAACGCCACACCTTCTTCCATCATTTCAAACTCAAAGCCAGGCTGAAGTCGTTGGAAGGTCTCTCGATCAAATTGAGCATTGCAATGGAAACAAATGGGACCAACGCTTCGTATCTGATCTCCCACACAGTCTGCACAGCACAAATGCCCGCATGGAATAATCATTAGCAATTGCAGTTTGCGCTTGCAGCACCCACATTCAGTGACTACCCCTGGCAGTTGCACTTTACGAAGGTATTCCAGCACAACCGTCATATTGTTGCCATCCACGTTGAGTGCGCTTAGCATATTGATCGTATCCAATCGAGATGCCTCGGCCAGTGAAACCTTCATAGCTGATCCACCGCAACATGCTGATCGAAGGTTTGAAACAACGCGCAACGCCTCTTTCCGATTACTTGGGTTCAAAAGGCTGTCCAGATGCTGATAACCAGGAGTTTTGGGGTCCATATTCGTAATGACCAAGTTAGCGCGGACTGCCGCGGCAACACCATTGTATTGCGCATACTCGCTTGGTGTAGGGTCAATAAAGACCGTGCGTCGGATCGGTTCAGGCAATATCTCACGAATCGACTCTTTAGTATGCCGTATCATGATTCGGCTAAGAAGGTGTTGAAGGCGATAAAATCCGACGATCTCATTCCGCTCAAACGGACGAGCAATCGCTTTCACCCATGCCTGTCCGTCTGGACTCCCGTAAGGAAGACTACGCAGAAACACTAGAAGTCCATGCATATAGCGCAGATCGGCAGATTGGAGGGTGTTTGGCGTTGGCGTTCCGGTCATTACCCAGCGCCTTTTAGCACACAGCAATCGAGCCAACTGCATCAAATTTGATGGAGTTGGACCACCCAGCTTGTGCCCCTCATCAACAACCACTCGCACCCAATGAACCGTTAGAAGAGATGATACTGTTCCGCGAGAAGTTCCGTCGGCGTACCGTTGTTGGCCTTCGAAGCCGTAACGTTCGGGCATGCGCTCCTCTAAAGCTGAAGTTGGTCGGTTTATCCTCCATTCGCGCGCCAATCTTGTAAACGACGTAATCACAACATCGTACTGAGCAAGATCCAAATTGTACGGTAACTCGCGTTCGACACCAGGGTCAACAAATACATGCAAAGCGCCAGGTGCGACATGAGTTTCAACTTGATACCTCCAATGTTCTACCAGTGGATCTGGCACAACCAGTAATGATGCCCGAGAGCTTACTAGGTCTTCAACATTCACGTTACGACCTCGAGACCCAGGCGACCGCAATCCTGACCGAGCCATGCCTTCGCCAGGGCCATGCGTATTAGCTTGTGTGTTGTCTGTTCTTTGTCCTTTTGTTCGCAAAATTAATGCCAGCATTGTAATGGTCTTGCCAAGACCTGGCTCGTCACAAAACATGCCTCCACAACCATCACTTGCCGTCACGTGCGAATGTGTGATGACTCGGTTCTCGATCAAATCTATAGCCAAGGAGCTTTCCAATCCCGACGAGAATATAAATGGATGTGGATGAGGAATGCACGTTAGAGAAGGGGTTTCGCGGCGCAACATCCACTTCAATCCTCTCCGCTGGTGCTCATAAAGTACAAGGTTTAGACCAGGCACCACTTCGTATGCTATATGCTGGAATAGCGAGCAAACACTACTCAACGAAGCAAGGTCTCGTGCATTCATCAAACGCACAATATTATGCAGAATATTGTTGGGCAAGTCGGTCATGACAATCTCCTTCTTAGAGCATGTCGTTCGAGCCATGTACGTAACATCGTCTCGAATTTCCATCTGATCTACGTCCGTCTGAGTCATCAAGCTGTGAAACACATCGGGTAAATTGAGCTTTTGTTTGGGTTGAAAGAATGTACGCTTGGTATTGTCCCATGGGTGCAATTGACAGCCAACAACGTGACACAAACTATTTCGAGCATCTTCCAACGCCGAGTGTACTGCATCTTTCCTTGCTTGCTGATTACGCGGTACAATTGAAAGCATTGTAGCTTGTAAATGACACAATACAAAGTCAAAATCTTTCAGCGTTGTACGGCGTCTAGCGTCCTCATGCACGCGCACGTGCAATCGAAGTGTTGCTGCAAGCGGAAGACCAATTGATCGAGATGCTATCACGTACGTCGAATCTACGTGAAGAATTTGCCGTTCTTTTAAAACCAAAAGCAGCCATAGAAAGTGTACATAGCTACAGTGACAACAGCTACTGGAATCGTTGTTCACACACGTGACATCTTTTCGAACATTGGGGTGAGCAAATACGAGCTGGAGATTGTCGTCTGCTGTACGTTCGAGTGACACAGGGATATCCATTGCACCATACGTACATAATTGATATAGCTCTGTATATACAGGTGCCAAGAGTTCAATAATATGGGCGACACCGACACCAGTTGTAGACGTAAGCGTCATTTAGTGGAGGAAGAAGAGACGAAGTTTGAATTGCTGCAATTCGTTGTTTTAACAGTTTTTATCAAGTATGTAAAACCCGCAGAACAAGGAGCGGTTGAACGTGTAGAAACTGTTTAAACTGTTTTAATGTAAATGCAGAATATGTTATAAAATATATGATATGAAAAAGGCTACCAAACGTAAAAACGAACGAAACTCCTGTTTTTTTAGTCCATTTTAATGACAGCTACTTCACAGAAGGGTTCGATATGAGTCGTATCTTTGAACATAGCACTAACAAATAGAAAATCACTTAACAACTGTATGTCGCTGAGAAACAAGAAGATCTTTCTTCCCCCTCATAACTCAATTAGCCAATTCAGTAACAACCAGTTGGAGTCGGATTCGAAAAAGACACCATAAATATACAATAGTATGGTAAAAGTAACGGAGTTTAAGGTTGGCATGACATGTGATGGCTGTTCCAGCGCCTGCACGCGCATTTTAACCAAGATTGAAGGTGTGTTCCTCACTCTATATAGCCTCATTAGTAAGTTCTAACTTTGCCAAATACGAGCTCTTTTGTCTATCAGGTGTCACGGACGTCAAATGCGACGTAGACAAGCAGCAGATTCTTGTCGAAGGTGATGCCGACGTCAATGTGATGCTGGATGCGCTACTTAAATGGTCCAATGCAAGCGGTAAGAGCGTCGAGCTCGTGGCTTAAATGTCTCTCCTCCTCTTCGAAACATCAAATGTTTTCTCCTCCATCATCATCATCGTTCTTTATAACACTCACTACAACAATGAAAAGGAAGCAAACCGAGGGAAAAAAGACAGTTATACAATTCCAAACTTGAGCTTTCATTTCCTACTTTTACTTTAAGAAGAAGCTTACGCTCTCCCTTCCCTCACACTCCTTCTCTCGAAAGGTATGAATCGCTATTAGCACAAACATCGATCAAAACTTACAGTAGGCATACAAAGTTTCATTCAACCACCCATCGAGTATATTTCTTACAAAACACTCGTCTTTATTATTTTGTCCCTTTCACCTTCTCAAATAGTTTTTATACGAAATCTTGTGATTAGTGGGACTTGAACCCACAATATTTACTTGGAAAATAAAAAATTTACCAATTAATTGCTAAAGTTTAAAACAGCCAGTCACAACAGATCAGTCGCTTTGTGCAACCTCAGTGCGGAAAGTATCTCTTGTTACTTTGTGGAGACTTTACTTTGACTTCCAGGACGTCATTAATGACTACGACTTGGTTCCTCTCAGTAACTTCATGGCGTGTTCTATTGCTTCATAAGCTTCCGATGCGCTTGTATGAACTCGTAGATGACGTTTTGCTCGTCTTCTGCGCAGTTTCTTGTTATATGGGTATCTGTCATGTATTGAGTCGTATTTCATGGACTGCACACATCGCTGATCTCTTGCTAGACCGCTCTGACCTACACTCAGGGCCGAGAATACAAAACCAACTATTTTTTGAGAGTTGTACGTGTATAATCAGTATCATGCTGCTCTATACGGTAGGGTTCTCAAAGTGGATTGCTGTAGGCGCTGCTGGAGCTAGTGCGACATTTGTGTGGACGTTTAGAAGTGATTTGTTGGTGTCGTATTTACATCGTTTGCAGACGCGACTAAATCTGCAGCAGAGAAGCGGCATCAGAAGCATGATGTGGCTAAAATTAGCGCTATCTTACACAGTTGTGGGGTCCATTATCTCGGAGACAGGAATGAAGCTACATGGCTACGTGTTTAAGAAGAAGAACGAGGAAAAAAAATTGCAGCCGACGTGGGCAGTGGACCAACTGACTGTCAATTACTTGCTGAGAATACTGCTCGGTGCGGCACTCATTATTGCAAGTAAACTGATGCTTCTGTGCATACCGACGCGTCAAGTTGGTCTCGCACTCCAAGGGCGAGTTATCAGAGCTAGAAAATACTGGGAACTGCATCCAATGCATTCACTACTTAAGGCCACAGGGACGTTTAGTGTTACAGTTTTTTGCTATTGCATGTCAAAAGATATGCTGCTGTCATTGCAGCTTGGAACATTTTGTGGCATCCTACTTCTCCTCCGTAGTAAGTTGTCGGCTTTGGCGATCCGGCGACACTTTGTCAGTCCGCCAAGCCTTCAGAAGTTCACGAAAATGCTTGCTGAACTTCACTGGGTGAAGCTTGTTACAGTGGTTGTGATGGTGCTGTGCTTTTCCTTCCAAGTGTATGCTGCGATTGTGCATGCTGCAAATGCGCCATCGAATTCGTCGGTGTTTATGCTATCCTTTCTTGTCATGGCTGCTGTCGCACATTCTATTCTTGCACTTTTTGGCAGAAAGCTATCTTGGATGGAGCTAGTTCGATGTGGAAGACAGTTTGCAGCCAAGATTTGCGTTAGTTTGATCGCACTTATCGCACCTCAGGTTTCTCACGGACTACCCGGAGTTGTGTTTTCTTGCTTGCTATCGGCTTTTTGCATTGCTTTTTCGAGGGAATGCTGGGATGATATTGAAGTGAATGAAGAAGGCCACTTACAAGTGGTCACAGATGCTGACCGCTCGCCAGAAGCGGCTAACATTTGGTTAACCGTGACAATGGATGCGGACTCTCCTAGTAGCGATCCACCGCCATGGTATGTTCAGGGTTTGAGCGTCGTAAAAGATCGATATCCTCACTTTCACAAGCGGGTAAAATGGGCATTTATGGGCGTCATGGTGGTGTCGATTTGTGATGTGTGCTCGACAGGTATTGCGATGATCAACTGCAGCAAGGCAGTGCTCTCACTTTCGCAGTATTCTGCAATCAACGTCGTCGTTTCGGCATCAGTGGGATACCTGACAAGCCCATCTCCGTATGAGCTACATCCTGCTGTGTTGCTTCACACAGGTTTGAAACAGTTTAAAAACAAGTGGATTATTTTACCGCTTCAAATGTTTGTCGAGACGCTGGTTTTCATTGCAGTTTTTGTTGGCACCTTTGCTGCTTCATCCACAGTATTCAGCTCATTCACTCTCGCTGCACTTTCGGGTGTTGTGGTGTCCGTTGGCGGCCACTCGGCATGCTCGCGGCTCCACCTTACTGTTGGTAACTGCATGCACATGCAGCAAACAGCAACATGTGCGCTGCTCTTTTATTCGTTCTTCATAATCTATGCGTCGATGGTGTCACTATTGTGTATTTATCACTACTTTAACAGTATTGAGGCGGCATTCTGTCTTGCATCACTTGCAGGAATTTTCTTTTTGGCGGCAAGCGAGCTGCTATTAATGTGGGAACCAACGCGCGAGGTGGGGTTGCTGCTTCAACGTCGGGTCACGCACGCAAAAGAGAACTGGCAGTTGGAGCCGCTGCGCTCTTTTGTAGAGGTTTTCACTTGGTTTGCAGTTATATGTGGGTCATTCGCAATGTATGATGATCTTTTGTTGGCACTTCAGCTGGGTACGTTCTCAGGAATTGCAGTCACGCTTTCAGGAGAGTTGTTCCGAAAGAAACGATCAAAACTAATTCCATGGGGCCAAAGCCTGCTCGCTGACGGCGACGCGATCACTGCACCTATATCGCTGCTTGAAGCACCTTGCTGCAACTTGAATGAACCGGATTGCGCTCGACCACTTCCAGCGATGTTATTGTTTGCATATATTGGCTCGGGCACATTTCAGTGGATCTTTGAGAATATGCGTAGTCTTGAGGTCACAGTCCTGCTTGCCACCATCGCCGGTATTGCTTTCTTATGCTTTGCTGATATGCTTGTGCTATTCAAGCCGACTCGTTGGGCGGGAGTGATCTTGCAAGACCGTTTCATTAACGTAAAACACAATTGGTATGTGTACCCCGTGCGGTCGTTTGTCGAGTTTGGCTGCTTTATGGGTGTTATCTACGGTAGTTACGCGATCTACCACGACTTGGTCGTTGCAGTCCAAGTGGGTACTTTATCTGGCATGTTGGTGACTCTCGGTGGGGAGCAAGTGCGTAGTTGTGCACGGGCTTTGCCGATGAATGGTAAAGTTTTATACAGCTTTGCCAGCATTGTTATACTAATAGTAATCATGTTGTGTTGTACAGAATCCAAGAAGATAGAAGTAGAAAAAACACAGATTCTCCCGCTTCCTGTAATGAGCCTGCTAGGCCTTGTTGGGGCCGTAGCATTCAATATTATTTATACGCACCTTCACAGCATTGAGGTAGCATTCGTCCTTGCCACAACAAGTGGAATCATTTTTGCTCTGGTTGGCGATATGTTCGTGATCTGGAAGCCTACACGCAAGGTTGGAATGATTCTTCAGGAACGTTTATTGTATTTGAAGCCGAACTTTTCCAGTCATGCGTGGCGTTCATTGATAGAGGTGGTCTCACTGTGTGGTGGCTGGTATATTTCCTATGTTTTTCTGTGGCCGGGTGATCTTCTTATCGCCATTCAGTTTGGGACCACGATTGGAATAGTTATGTGCGTTTGTGGAGAACTTGCGATGGAGTTTGTCGCTGAAGCCGAACGTTGTTTGATAGCAAAAGATGCCTCAGCACGATTAGTGCACAAGTAAGTGAGTTATATTGGAAACGGGCTGAATTTTGGCTAACATTTTGTGTGTTTTATCATTGCAGCTCACAAAAAGACAGCATTTTTCTTAGTCTACCGTACGAAATTCAGTTTGAGGTGGCATATTTCTTGACCGCGGAGGATCTTTTGGTTGCTCGAGCTACGTGCCACAAGATTAACAACATGCTGAAAGCTGAATCTGCTCGTTTTTGGTTGCACGCAAGCCTACGACGAACATTTCGAGACCGCTCTGTTTGGCGAGGATGCTCTCGAGCTCCTAGCATTAGCCATCGGATGGGAAACCGTGCCCGATCTCTGGTGTATGAGGCCGTCACACTTATGCTGCCAAAAATCGTTGGAGCCAGGTACACATTGAAACACCCGTTAAAGCTGTTATTGTGTCTATACTTCTAATATGTGATCCATTCGATGCAATAGGGATCCAGCTCAAGTGCTAACGTCCAGCAACGAAGTGAGTCGTGCATTGAAGTGGGTGTATTTGAACGCCGAGTGGATCCGGAATCAGAATCTTCCACCTTTAATGGAAGAAGGCGAGACCAAAGACGTCACACTCATCTCGTAGGTTGCGTGTGCGGGGTTTACTGTTTGTTGTACACGTTGTTTGACTTGATGTGTGTAGGTTAGCTGCTGGAGACATTGCTTTTAATGTATTCCGTCACATGCCTGATAAGGTAGAGTAATTATATTGCACAGATGTTCTCGAACTACGCTGTTGACATGTTATGGTGTGTCGTCGCGCATTAGAGCTCTTTGGGGATCATTGTATCACGCGACGAAAATTTTGCCATTGAACGCGTTGAAGTGCCTAAGGGAATTTATGATACGATTCAACGGGATCCTTTAAGCTTCGTGGCTGCAGAGACCCTCTCTACGTTAGAGGTGTTTTCAAATTGGCACCATACGGTCGTAGCTTTCGCTACGATGACACTCATTTTCATCGGACAATTTTCTAGCGACCTGCTTTGCGCATACGTGTTACATAGTGGGGAGTAAGATGAACTTATATACCAAGTAACCTCGCGCGCTGTGTATGCAAAAATATTGATAAAGATTAATATCATTTAACGTTAACACTGTATCCTCTCGTTCAACGCTCGCTTGTTGTCTTTACCCTCCATTTCGATCTACATGTGAGTCTCCTTTCGATTAGGCGAACACAAGGTGTCTGTCTGATCGTAAAAGGCATGAACCTAATCTTGAATCACAGGGTTATAAAAAGACCTTCTAGCATCGGATACTTTGTGATAGTTTGATGCGTTCGTAAGAACGTAGAAGTTCACCAATCTCAATCTCAATCTCATGGCTTTACCTTGTCGTAACCAGGACATCAATGTGCTCTCCTCATTGCTTAACATGCGCATCTGGAGCAACGCAGAGGCAGGCAAACGAGCTCACGAATATTCAGTCAGAAGTGAGCGCTATTGAGCTGCAAAAAAATACTGTACGTAGATCAGCTCACCCACATTCTTTTCATCGATTGGCTTTCAATCTAGAACAGCAGTACAGGTATTAGTGCCGGCGTAAGGACCACACAGCCCATCAGGCGTATTTTTGAGCTCACGTTTGCCATAACTTTGTGTGTCAAGGACACTGGAACGAACGCCGTCGTACTGTGCCCAAAACAACATTCGAGCTGCTGCGCATTGCTAAAAAGTACATGGTCCATACGAACGACGACGATAAGAATGCTGCAAACATGGAGGCTTTAGATTACGAGGTTCATTGAATCTTGAACAAGTATATCAAAAAGAAAAGGTGCGTAGCATTGGCCGATACAACTGTCTTAAATGGGATCTTTGTACCGTGCACGGCGTACACGACCCTTTCTAGACAATACCGTACCACGCACTGAGCTTGAATCAATTTCACATACTACTGCTGTGGTCACGAGGATTGAGACTAGACAAGACAGAGGCCCTTAAGGAAGTCCATGAGGGTAACACGAATGTTGTTACATGAGGTCTTTTTTTGTGGCTGTAAACGTCATCAAGTCGCAAGCAAGATGTAATGTTGTTGTTACTAGTACTAATTTGTAGACTGTATAAGAATTCTTAGTACGGATCACGTCTAATGGCATACTGAACATGTGCAGTGTAGTTATTGACAGCAGTGATTTGGCACAGTCAGTGACAGCCGCCGGACAATGTTGTATGCATTTACAATTTTAAATATTTCTAATGAGACATATTGGTCCATGCAGTATATCTTGATACGTGGCAAATCTTGTCCTTGTCGACGATTGTCAGAAGGAACGGCGGGACAAGTTGAAGTGAAGCTGGAGAAAATGACAGAAAACGTCCTAATCAGTCCATGACCTTCGTGCGCAATCGATCGACGTCTGCGCCGTCATCGTAATCGCCTAGATATACTAACTATCGAAGTATGGGATTCCATCGACAGCGCTACGCCTGAAGAGCGTTGCTCGATTCAGCAGAACGTTGCCTGCTCCATAGCAACGCGTTTAGAGCCAAGCTGCCATCTTACTGCGAGCCTTAACTACCATAAAGCACTAGCTGTTGGTAATCGAAAGGTGATCATTTGGTCACGGTGTAGTGTAGCATGAAAGAGGCTGAAATCGGATTCATATCGTTCTTGTTCACAGATTCGCTCGATATACCGTAGGTATTTTATTTAAAATCAAAGTGGTAAAACTGGATCAAGTTTGAATACTTTGCCATTTTCACGACGAATCAGACGTCAAAGTTGCTATGTCGCATACTATAAAAGATGAAAAAATCAATTAGGACAGTGCAGAGCCATGCTCACGCCACAATGGCTACATCAAACACTGCACGCATCATCGTTGGCGTCGTCATTCGATCGTTTCATCTCTTCTGCTCACATTTGCTGCTCGTTGCTCACACGCACTCAGCAGTCCCCCTCCCTCCGCATTACCCCAACCTATCGCCATGTCCCCTACAGCTTCCATGCTTCCATCGCACGTTATGATTGAGACGGACTGGAAGTTTCAGCGCAAGCTCAAGCACCATCAGCGTGACGTTGGCCGCCGTACTGCTAAAGGCCGCGCCGAGCCCCGATGTAGGCATAACTTGCAACATCAACACCGAGCCCATGTTATGCGCACTGAAAGGAATGCGTGGCTGCCTACGCCCGCCAAGAGTCCACGTTGCCGCATCCCTAAAAAACTGCGGCAGGCAAACGTTTGGCAACTGAGTCGTTCCGACCGATTCGCGACCTCGTGGCCCCCGGCAAAGACAGTCATCGAGGAGCTTGAAGAGGTCATGGGCGGCATGTCCACAATCTTGCTCGCATCATCGGCACCGCTGCCTCCGTTTGCAGAAAGGTCGGACGTCTACAGACGAGAGGTGCGTCCCCTGACGCTGATTGAAAGTGCACGCATCTTTAACGAGTCCGGCCAATTGCTCAGCCATGGCAACCTTGACGAAATGAGGTCGTCGCCAGAAATGATTGGCGAGGGAAAACCCAAGCGCAAGATCAAGCGCCGGGTAGGGCGTCACAAACTCGAAAACAAGCGCGTGAACGTAGTAGACGCTCTCAACGCCGACGAGGTGGTGCTGGAGCTTATGTGTCTTCTGCTCCCAGATGTGGAAGTGACGCAGGAGCTAAATCTATTGCTTCTTGGCGGTGCCCAGCACGACCACGTCTTTCCTTTTGATGAAGACGACATTATCGGGAATGTTCCGGCAGATACTAAATTGAAAAAAAGCGTTTTAGACATCGATATGCTCAACTTTCAAGCCGCACTAGCGACCATGCTATTTGACTCGGACATGTCCATCCAGGAGTTGCCAGCTCATGGCACATCTATAGAAACTCTACAAGAAATGTATCTTACGCCACAATGGATCGCACACGAGGTGCTTACTATGGTGAAGCTCGACGTCGTTGCTCAGTACAACCGGTTTGCAGTGATAAACGCAATTTTTCGCACGATTCCAAAATTACGCTTTTGTCTTATGAAAGCAACAGCGTCCGTTGCCCTCGCAATCTTTCAGCATCAAGGCCTGGTTGAAATTGTCCCTCGCACTTCTGGCAAGAGCCTTGTCACAATTAAAGGTCTTCTTGAATTTCTGAAGGCAGCAATGGATGTCATTGAAAGAGACGCACGATACAATGCTGAAGTCTTTGGCAGCAGCGATGCTCAGATCTGCGACGCTATCACTCAGTTATGTGGCCACATCATGCGCGCGATCCAACTGCTGGTTCGAAGCTATCCTGGAGGTATTGGCGCCTCTAATTCGAATCGCAACCAACTGGAAAAGTATGCAGAATGTAGCGACTCGGCGCAAGCGACGACATTTCGTGATATGGGGGAGCTAGTGAATCGGATGGCCACGTTCTCTCCAATGCACGGCGAGAACTTCCTGCGTTGGATGTTGCTTAAATGGCCTCACCGTAATGTTCAGCTGCAGTTGTTGTTTGTGAGGTATACAGCGGGTCTGCTTTCGCTTTTCATGCAGCTTGGCTTGATGTTTCCCGTAGATGTCGTGCGCCACGTCTTCACGCGCATCCAGGTCTGCATCCAATCAGCGTATTTCCTCGTAGCAAAGGAGGCGCTCAACATGTGTATGAACTTCCAGCTTATGACCATTCACCTATCATGCGACCAGGCGCTGCGTGAGAAAATAGCGTCCGCGCTGCATGAGAATGCCACCTCTCATTGGAACAAGCACATTCGAGAGATTTCCGACGAGTGCTTCGACATGCTGCTAGACTTGGTATGATGGAAACATAGACGGATACAAATAGAATAGCACACAAGAAAACAATAGAAACACCAACACAGGCATAGCGCCTAGTACGAAGCACCCCAGTGCAAGCATAAGAACACATTACAATACGAACCACATTCTGTACTTTTTTTTCTGTAACCTATTTTAAGCTTTCTACTATTGATTAGCCTGGTATGATGTTTCATACACATGCAGCAACTGCGATCAAATCTAATATTTCGCTACTTCCATCTGACGGAACTTGATTTAGTATCCGTATCTCCGCCAATTCGAGGCCACTTGGCATTTTGCCTTACCCGTATTGCAGCCTTAAGCGCATCTGCTGACACATCATGTATCTTCCAACCGCCGTCATATGTGGCTCTTGCTCACTGCCTATTGAGTGATAGTTTTAGTGTAGGGCCATCAGGCATCACTAGGTCAGGTTGTATACCCATTTGAACGATCTGAAGACCCCACCAAGAGACATTAGAGAGGCCGCAAGCTCACAAATGATGGCAAAGACGAGAGGGGTTTTATGGGTATGCAGGAATCGTTGTACCATGAAACTGACCCACCCATCTCGACCCACATGTCAATAAAACAAAGCTCCCTAAGCACCAGCAAAAGCATACCAACCCTGCGCATGCATTGCAATTGAAACTGGCACCGCTAAAAATATTTCAAGACAACCTTTGTCTGGTTTGACAGAATTCTTAAAAGTGTACAATGACAGCAAAGCCACATTAGTCACGAAGTTTGCAACTGTTGAGTAGAAGACAAGATAGAATATCGTCTACATGTTTATGTGAATGCACAAGTACGCTAGCACAGTCTGCAGTATTATCTGCTACATCTAAAGCCTAGTTAAACCATATTGTGCTGCTATTGAAATCTTGAACTCTCTATTCCAGTTCCTCAAATTAAACGGCAACCACAACACCCGTACTCCATTTAACACAGATCCTGCTATCATCCGCATCCTTGATTTCATGATAACAGCAGCTAGCTGCAGTCTCTATCGTCTGATTAAGATCAATGTGCTGGCAAAACGGTCCTTGTGAGGCTGTTCAGTGTTGACAAGGTACACCGCATGTGTTTGGATATGGATGCACATCTTTGTCGGATGTTGGTCATCGCTCGAGACTCATTCCTTGAACATAATGTAAGCGTATGATACATTTTAGCTGCCGTGCAGCTGTCAGTGCGTAAGAACAATTATCAAAAAGATCATCATAAGGTGATGGGATCACGTAGGTACGATACCGTTTCTTGCACGATAAAAACGACTCGAAGTTAGTGGCTTTTAACTAGCATAGCGACCCTGGTACTTCGTCAGTGGACCCTCCACCCTTAGTAGCCTCCCACATCACCTGCCTGTGATCGTCATCGAAATGCATGTAGGCCGCTTCCAGTTCCACAAACTATCCTTTTGGCTGAAAGGAAATAGGTGGGGTCGAGACTTGTGCGGACAACCTTGGACAAGTAACGATCAGGCTCTTGAGAATACAGGAGGTGACCAGTGATGGTTTCCACGTGGAAAATCGATCGACCTTCCCGTCTGGTGGACCGAACCAGCCCCAAGGCAGCTCTAGGCGGTCGACCAAGTCACTAGGAGTCATCGTCACGATACTCAAAGAGCTGACCAGGTCGACTGACCAAGGCGCCGCTTCCGCAGCAGTGAACGATTTCACCTTCACATACCCAGGGATGACGTTACCCTTCGGACGCGTAGGTGACCCACCTGGGGCGGAGTCTGCCTTTGCACCGTGACGGAAGCCTTCTTGTCCAAAACTGACTCGGTCTCTGAGTCGGAAGACCCAAATATGTCCCGGAACAATGCTAAACTCGGGCAAGCAACGGGCTTTGGGACATAAGCGGTAAAGGCAGCTGGGATCGATTGACTTGTTAGTGCGGAGAGTCGCCTTGAAGACCGCGACCAAGTTAGGGTTACCCAGAATACCTCGTTATCTTCTCTTCCCGTGGCATCGTCCGGGTCAGGCGAAGGAGTAGAAGGTAGACCACGGGAGGTCCCAGACTCAAAGAGGTGTTAACCGCCTGTCTTTTACTTTCTCCCGCACCAATAGGGCAGGGAGACCGCTTCCGATAACAACAACAACTCCGTGGTCCAGTTGCGTGAAGGTCTCCAACATGACAGAGAGCTGGTGAAGCACTTGCGATGGCAGATCGACTCCCGTTAGAGCCGATTCTCTCTCCTGGTGGAGTAGCTGGAGCATGCGGACTATGCCACTAGCCCGCTCAAGGATCCCGTGGTTCCCCCAGTAACTGCCCCCACGGTGCTTCCTGCACCAGTGTCAGGCAAATGACCTCGGCGAACATAAGCTAAAGCGACCATAAGCTAAAGCGACCACTAAGACCGCTAAGGCTGTCAAGTTGAGTACCACCAGCACTCCCGCTTCGTCAACTCGAGGTATCAAGGAAAAGGCCAGGGTTGAGAATCTTCCCTGGAGAATTTGGTTATAAGCCCACCCTCGACCTAGTCTACCGAGCGGCCACCTACCCGCCTACTCAGTGAAGTATATCCACTCAAGGCACCCCAAGGCCGACCTCTTTCAAGGCCGACATAGTGGGTTGATTGGGGGTGCTACTCAGATGAACCCACAGGCAAAATATATCCCGGGGCTCTATTCCCACTAGGTCTTACCACACGACTGTGTTCGAGGAGGGGGACATATCCTTTCCCGGAACAGGTGGGTAGACTTGGTCAAGTTCCTTGAGAGCAAGACAAAGGCGTGCTATGTAGACCACAAATTAAGTAGTACTAAATATTTTCCTATATTCAGCTCCTTTACTCTATGTTTACCCCAAGACCTGATTCTTGATTCTGATTGGCTAGGGTAGCTCTACTTCTGAACCAAGGTCGGCCTCCAAAAACTAAGGCCGAGAGTCCATCGACCGAAGGACCGAGGTCTATCGGCGAAGGACCGAGGTCTATCGACGAAAGACCGAGGTTCTATTGACGTAGGAGCAAGGTAAACCTCCATGCACCAGGGTAGAGGGTCCATCGACAAAGATTGAGATAGGCCTTGATGAATAACAAAGGTGTCCAACAATAGACCACGGCTGACTTTGAAAGACCGAGGTCTGCCAATGATAGACCAGAGTCGACCATGAAAGGACTGTGATCCACCTTGAAAGGCCGGGGTTCACCTTGAAGGACTGTGGTCCATCTTGATGGACTGGGGTACACCTTGAGGAAGCGCGGTCCACCAAGCTAACCGCGATAAACTCCTTTTAAAGGTGGCCAAATAGCGGATTTTACGGTAAATTCTTTCCATCCAACGGTTGTTTACCTTTCCCTTTGGCGCGATTTTATCTCTGTATCTGACCCAACCGTCGCTCTTCGTTGGCAAGCCCCTTTCTCTTTGGCCCAATGGTCCTACTGCGTCCCAGTTCTTGGAACGCTACACCATATATACACTCAGATTCACCCCAAGGTCTACCTCTTTCGAGGCCGACATCGAATCTCCACCAAGTTCTCCGAAGAGTGCAACCCGCCAGCCGAAGGGTACAAAAGATGAGAGAAAGTCCATACGCGGCATTGGGGTACCCGCTCCGACAGTTGGCAGTCCGGTATAGTGAGTGCCTTGGGGTCTCATGACGCAGTTTTGAGAACCCACTCCACCACAATAGCGTAGGAGCTCTTTACACACCGCGGGTGTTCTTGGACGCTCCTGTCGGAACGCCGCAATCTGTCTTTATATCTCTTGTTGTCTACATGATCTTGGCTGCCGATCTGATGAGATCCGATCCTTCTGGACACTTCATTGGTCTTTGAGGCCTTGATATACGTTCTTGCTGCGTCTGGTCGCATTCTAAAAAGTCTTTACAAATTACTCATCCAAGTATCTATTAATGCCTCCAGCGACAGCTCATAATAGCTCATGTTCACTTAACCCACCACATACAATCAAACATCAATAGAAGCAACAGTACCGTCATAACTCTATCCTATTCAACAATCCAGGTCAGATTGAATAGGTGGATTTTTGAACGATTGGTGGCCAAAGTACCCGCCAGGGCAAATATTAACTTGCTGCTTATTTAAGGCTATTAAGCTTTGCTTCATATTAACAAAGATCTATATTCGATGACTATAACTGTCTCGATGCAACGATTTGCTAACCTTGTCGTATCGAAAAAGATTGTCTTTTTGGGCCACGTGTCGTCTTCATTGTGGTATTCATCTACTTGTATAGTGAAATTCTTATCACATAGGACCCTCGCCTCAGCAGCTGATTGCGATTTTATGTGGTCGGTATCGCGATCAAAAATGTATGCAATCTCGATGGTGCCCAGCGTTTGTAAAAATTATCCTTTTGATTCCATTGCCACTTTCGCATTTGATTTCTACCAATACATCAGTCTAAGCGCACATACTGGCACAATGTGCGGCTTCTGACCGCCATTGTGTGTGGCGCTCTTGCTGCCTGACTATTGGGTACTCTTCCTCGTGCCATACTCATTAAATATATGTGCTTACTAGCACTAAGTGTGCAATGGTGAGGCCCATACACAGTCTCTAACCGATCCGTTCGCGTTTGAGAGATCGCAACAGAGGTGAAACATCTGCGCAAGAAGGTCATCAGTTCATCCGTTGGTTTGAACGAGCGTGTAAGCTCTCCAGTCTTTCTGACTTGGGCTTAAGCGCTAAGGTGCAGGATATTTGGTAATAACGTCGTCTTCGTTTTGATTCCGCAAAGCTCAAAGCTAAGCGTAAATTATCTTCCACATACAAGTCAAAGAATTGTAGGGATACCTGCTTCTGGAGCTTTTTCTGTACCCCTCACGCAAGTGATGAACCGGCGTTGGATTCTTCATAAGGTCAGAGGCAAAGCCATCCTACTGACCTTGTTTCCACAGCACCTAGTGCTAAAAGCGTTCGACGACGGCTGTCGTCGCTTATGACCGTCCTGGTCAAACGCGTCAACGGCGTCGGGGCAATCCTGCCGGAGGAGTACATCGTATTCCCACAAGCCATACGACTGGGA